CCTCCTCTCATTTCTGAGAGGGAGAAACAAGAAAAAAAAATTGAATGTGTACATGTGAAGTTCGCCAACACGAATTGGAGCAGCGCGGCAGACACTTCCTTGACCTAACCTCGCAGGTCATAATGAATAATTTTAAATTCGAATATGAATAATAAGATTGTAGTGTTTTAGATTTACACATGCACTAGGTTTAACTTTAATTATAACAGTGTTCAAATTCAGTTCAAAAAAAGTTCAAATCTCTCTATATAAAAATCAATTGCTGTGCAAAGTCGGGGCGAATCGCTAGTCACAAATAAAAGTGAAGTGTTACTATAGTTCGTGCCAAATCGATTGAAAAAACGGACATTGACCTTTCGGTCGTTTAACCAGGGGCTACACACCTTCAATATATAGGCACTTTTTATATGTAGTACTTTCTTTATTGATAATGATTTTTTTATGATGATTGATATAATATACAACACGTAACATAATTAACGCACTTTGAGAAAGAAGTTTGTTCCGAATCGTTTACTGAATCGATTCCTATCATTTTTAATATAGGTAATTTTTTATCCCAAAAATAATTAAAACTACGTAAATTACAGTCAAACTAAATCTGTACAGTCAAAACAAACTGAAATGGACCGTAACTTAAGGCAATATGACTTTTAAGAGTGCAGTTTTATTTGTATAATTACTAATTCTGTCATTCAATAAAAACTGAACTTTATTTTAAGCACGTTAAAGTCTTTGCGTTCGTGGATTTGTACTGAGACCACAACATTCTTCCGGAATTAGTATAACTAATTTGATAAATAATCGGTGCATAATAATGTTTAACTAAAAATTCAGTGTATGTATTATGATTATAACATAATATACTAATTGGGGTGTCTGAGGGTGTACGTTAATTACGTTACATATTGTATATTTATTAACTATTATTAAAAAGTTATGTAAAATATCGCTGTAGAAGAAAAATCATCTAATGTTATAAAGTACTTTATTCATTTAACAACAAAAAGCATTAATTTATAACACATAAAGATTCGAGTGATAACGACACCGAGTAAGTACGTACTTATTCAAAAGATAAAACTTTATTTTCAATATTATATAAGAACTTTATATTTATAAGGTGCATGCGGACCGGCCCAAAAAAGGTGAGGAATCTCTGGCTACCATTGTCACGTTTCTTTTAGAACTGACTGACGTAACGCGCGTTTTGTTTATTTTAAAGGGATGAGTTTGCAAAAGCTCAATATGGTGATTATATTGCTTTAATTTATTTTAATATGAAACTGTTATTAAATGGATTGCTGCATTACTTACCATAAATTGAAATATAAAATATAACACATTTATCGTGATGTACCGTAAAATTTTACGATGTTTATAGGAACCACAGACAATATTATTTAAGAAACAAAAAAACAAAACATATGTGCTATCCTAGAAGTATGAATAATATCAATATTTAAATATTGTTATCACATCTAAATTAAGATTTTGTAAGTTACGCCTTTTGACACTCGGCTATGTCTGAGGTCATCGTCCGTTTTTCTCAATCGATTTGGCACGAACTATAGTAACAAAAACTGTCCAACTGCGTGTCGAAAATGTGAGGTAGGGTTCCGTAGTTGCCCGTCATAATATTATACGTGTGTTTACAAGGGGCTTTCTTGATAATATGAGCGTATTCAGCGGTTTGACCGCTATCACGACTAAAAGTGAGCCCGAATAGGACAAAGGTAACTGAAGAACTTATTTACTTATTTTCCAAGCGAACTTATAGGGAGTGGTGGTCAAAAAAAGATTTTAAAAGAATTGACTTTGAAAATAACACAATCTGCATTTACATACCAAGTCCGTACAAAAATGGTCATAGTGCCGTGTTCATCTATTAGTTCCCCGGTAGTGCAATCCTAAGATATACATCACCGTTTTGAACCGTCCCGTAAACCACCACTGCCCTAAACTACCCTGAGGGTCGCCCGCGTAAACTAAGGGTATAATGCGTCTCGCTCGCACAGATGCAATGACCGCCGTCATCAGGGATTGTAAACGTTTTACCTGAGACTGTAAGGTTTGTTTGCATGTGGTATTTGGTTGGCCTTGAGGCACGACCAAAAATCCTTGGTTTGCTTGACATAATTAATAATTTTTAAATAACGAACAAACGACATTCCATTTTGGGATGCGTTAGTGATCGCTCAGTTTTCGGACACAGTTATCTCTGTTATCTATTTGTTGTTTGTTAATTTTAGTTATCTTATTTTAATTGTTAAGTGGTTTTGTTAAGTTTAATGTAGACAAAACTGTTGAGTCTTTTGTAATAAATATGACAGGCGGAACGTCATCAGCAAGTAGTAACTCTGATACAGAGAAATCGGATTCTGATTTTTGAATTTTCATTTTTTTATTTCTGCCAAATTAGTAATTGTAATGGACGGCACACACGGTCAGTTCAACTGATCATTCCAATTGATCAGCTTAAATTACGACTGTTGATATTTTTTAAAATATCGGATTTTCGATATATCTATAAATAAAGTTATATATAAAACTCCGATACTGATATATTTATAATAATCCATTTATCGAAAATCCGATATTTTAAAAATATCAACAGTCCTAGTTTGAACTGATCAGTTGAACTGACCGTGTGTGGCGACCATAACTCGATTTTTATAATTGTTTTATAATGATTTCTTATATTTACGCGAACACTACACATTGATTAAAATAAAGAAGGAGGCTGGGTAGTACCACCTGCTTGGGACTCTGTAATTAATACAATTAAAACTAAACCCAAGTATACCGTTGCTGCAAGACTTCAAGACACAGTCAGTTCATTCTGCGTAGATCGGACCATAAACAATAATTAAAAAGATGAAGGTACTCCGGGTTAACATTGACATCGGGACGTCAGTCACCTCAGTCCCCCGTGACCATGGGTGCTGGTAGGCACCGAAACGTCAGAAATTAAAAATAATATAAAGTTGAACGCGATAAAATCCATAAAAGTAGTTTTAATCAGCTGTTTTTATACTAAAATCAAAATAAATAATTTATATAATACCAATAATTTATTTAATACGATAATAAATTAATTTGTTTTTCCTTCAAATATTTCATAAAAATTACACCTAACACAAAAATGTTTGTGGCCACTGTCAGTAGGCAAAGAGGTCATTGTACGAAATTCTTCCTGCTCCGCGACTGGACTTTAAAACCTAAGCGAAAGTGGTATGTCAGGATCGGTCTCTTGGCGAGCGATCTTCTCTGCCTACCCCACAAAGGAAAATATAATTTATTATTTTTATATTATACTTATAATTTTTATATATACGCGTTCAACTTTATATTATTTTTAATTTCTGACGTTTCGGTGCCTACCAGCAGGCACCGAAACGTCAGAAATTAAAAATAATATAAAGTTGAACGCGATAAAATCCATAAAAGTAGTTTTAATCAACTGTTTTTATACTAAAATCAAAATAAATAATTTATATAATACCAATAATTTATTTAATACGATAATAAATTAATTTGTTTTTCCTTCAAATATTTCATAAAAATTACACCTGACACAAAAATGTTTGTGGCCACTGTCAGTAGGCAAAGAGGTCATTGTACGAAATTCTTCCTGCTCCGCGACTGGACTTTAAAACCTAAGCGAAAGTGGTATGTCAGGATCGGTCTCTTGGCGATCGATCCTCTCTGCCTACCCCTCAAAGGAAAATATAAAGCTATACCAGTAATGCAGAACTCGTGTTCTTCAAAAAATGTTTATTTCTTATAGTTTACAATAACTTTAACACTAGCGTGGTTAAACCCTTTCAGAAATGAGAGGAGGTCTGTGCCTATCAGCAGTTATATTAGTAGTATAGTTGTAGCACGTATGGGTCGGCTCGACCGGGGAAGGACCACGCTCTCACAGAATACCAGCGTCGAATAGTAGTTAATGCTGCTGTGTTTGGTATGGTGAGTGTACAGAACCGGAGACCCTTTTTACTGGAAACGAAGAGTTCCACCTAGGTCCTCACGCATGACAACGCATCTGCATTTTGATTTGTAATCGAGGATAGATGTAGATGTCTATGGACCACAGCTACCACTTACCATCAGGTGGACTGTGTGCTCGTTTGTGATCCTATCCTATAAAAAAAGTGAGACGTATGTATATAGGCTGTACCTACCTTTTTAACAATTATAATGCAGCTAGTTTTAGGTCAATTTCTGTGAAATTGTAACGAAATTTTGAATAATCCAAGTGCATTTTATAACTTGGTCGATTATTACTCGTTAATTTGTTAATTTTTGCTGTGATAGTTTTCCTTTTAACTTCGCTATATAAACTGAAAAATAGCCATTTAGTTGGTGGAGGGGGGGGGACATTACGGATCCCTGAATTGGAAAATTTTGTTCTATATCCACAATATTTCTGAAAGGCCTATCCAAAGGCAACCCACACGATGGAATAGACGGGTAAAAAAAAACATCTATGTGTGAGGTATCCGAAACAAAAATGTTTTCAAAATTTTATTTCACTGTTTTGTAGGAGTGATTAATATCTATAACTACTTAAACTAACTTACTTAGCCCTCAGATGTTACCATCATTCTATAAAACTAAGCTCTACTCCGCAAAGTGTACTGCTGTGCATGGGCCTCCCGTAGGAAAGATTGATCTTAACGTATGGCAGACGGATCAGTAACCACAGCACTAGACGTCTTGCTTTTAATGTTGCTCCCCGGCGCTGATCGTAAGATTTTACTAAGGTTTAACGAGTATTTATACGTATACGTTACCTATCAGAAGCAATAAGATCTTTCTGGGCTTCACCATTGTCGTATCTTACGACTATCACCTCTTACCTCCAATCGTCTCGTCGTTCCTCGATCAGAGTACTTAAATTTTGATTTGTAGTCAATACTGCTCAGATTGAATATTGTAAAGTAAAATTAATTTTGATAAAAAGTGAGAAAAAAGAAAATAAAATAAATTCAAACCTGTCCGGTAATAGTGAAAAGAAACGCAAGAAGGACTCTCAAAGGCGTTCGCGCTTTGTATGCTCTATGCGACCAGAGTCTGTGCACGCCGGCGGTAACTCCGAATCCCGATGTGTAAATTGTCGCAAATACTGTAAAAAAGAAAAACAAATGTAAACTATAAATTTGCATAACTATTTAGTTTATCCTTTAAGTTGAAACAAATAATACCCTTTTTTGATGATATACCACTGCGATAATTTATAAAAAAGCACTTGCTCATCGTTTACTCCCGTTCCCGTTGTAACGCTTATGGCATAAACTCACGGAGATGATCATCTCAAAGATAAGGAGATAAACAAAACACAATGCTTTTTTATTTCATCAATTTGTCAGGCTTCAACGTGTTTCACGTTTAAACTTACTTAAGTGTGTTTACGACATTCTCTGATAAAAAGAGTGTAAATTTTTTTTGGATTTAAATTGGATACGGTTTCGGTCTCACAGAACCAAGAGTGGAGTTGCCAGGTACTTTAAAAATAAGTCATATTATATTTCTCAGACTAGTTAGTTTTTAATTAAAATATTTTCCTGTAATTTAAAAGCAGGGATTGAATTTAGTACAAGCACAAGCAGAAAGCTTAGTTTAATGAAAGGACTGGACACGAAATTATTACTATTGAATAAGACTGAATATATATATATATATATATATGAGGTTGAGAGCTGAGGTTTTTTTTAACGTCTTGATGTCATAGTTAACCGATCAATGGAGAAAGGGCTAAAATTATCTACACCAGCTATATCTACAGTTATCATTCTGTGAAATAACAGACACAGTAGAGTAAAAAGAAACTCTATAGCGCTTTTAATAAAGCTGTAATGAGGGAATTAAATCTCGTTTATCTCAATTCCCAGTCAATTAAATAATTTATAAACCTTTTGAAGTAACAATTTGGAACAAAAACCTCATCATATCCCGTTTTTAACATGTTTATAATTTACGTTTGTAATTACGTTTAAAGAATAAGTTTTAATTTTATTTATCCCCGTGGGGAAAGTATAATAGCAATCATAAATAATACAAAAATAAATAAATACGTAACCTGTACACCACATAAATAGCGAGATGTTATTTTTTTAGTGAAGATTTACGACGTGCTCGACGATGAAGAAAAATATCGTGAGGAAATCTGCATGTCTCAAGATAAAAAAAATTTAAGACGTGAATTTCGCCAAAATGCATTATGGTAGCGCGGTGGACACTTCCTTAAATTAAAACTCTTTCAGAAATGCGATACCTTTGCCTAGCTGCGGAAAGTATATAAACTGTAACTTAACATTAGTGTGTATATTTTTTATATTTTATATAGATATATTGTAAAAATATTTTAATAACAACAATGTTATGGTATACTTTACCAACAAAATTATATACAAATATATATTATTGAAAAATAAATGGTTGGCAATTCTACTTAAATTATCATAAACTATAAAATGTATTTGCAACAGAAACAAAATAAATGTAAAAAAGATATTATGTTAAATCATTAAGTTACTAATATTTTAAATTATGAAAGACTCAATTCATATAATTGTAATGGTTTCACGACATTGTATATTTTGCTGCATTCCTTAATCGATTATTATTGAACTGAAACGTACTAAGCGGGCATTATTTGCGTTATTATCACAGAAATCTATATAATATATTATTTAGATTTCTGTGGTTATTATTATATTGCACTGAAATTAACAAGGTCTATTAACAAATTAATAAAATGCTTAATATTTTATAACGTATAAACAGAGCTTTGTAAACTAAAATAAAATAATGTTATAATTTTAAGTAACTTTACATGTATACAGATAGTTGTTTTACAATGACACTGATGTTATCAGATAAAAATTATTAAAAATAATGACCGCAATGAACATGCTGTTCTGTTGGTAGGCGACGACCGCCACCTACGTACAACTGCAACGTCAGAGGAGTGGAATTGCCAGGATTTTAAAAGTAGTGTCTTTTCTTCATGTTCTCTATGGCTTTAGAATAAAACTTAAATAATGACAATTACAATTATTGTATCAATTATATTTTTAATTATAACGCTTAGGTTGTGGATTGATAGTTTCATGTTGTTCCATGCTCCACTTCCACAGTTCTGGCTACAACGGCATCTTACGGAGGACATGAGATCTGCATTTTTTTAACTTCTGTTTTACCACACCTACGAGATGACATGCGGTGACGTTCTCTCTTACAACGAACAAGTATACACTAATTTAAACAAATTACAGTTTTATGACAAAGCGACAAAGAGGTTACACGCAGAAGAATTTATGAACATATTATGTACGACTGATATTCTAGCATCTAAGTTAGAATTTTTATGATGAAATGGTTTGCATATTAGCGCGAATACTACAGATTAAATGAAGTTTGTTCAGGTTCCCCCTCATTTTTAGACTTTATTGAGGATTTGCCTTTATTTAGATAAAATTAAAATTTAGTTTGCTACGACCTGCTCGGTGTCCTATTACTAATAAAATTAAATCTAAATCCAAACGTCACTGCAGAACTTCAAAACAATATCCTTCTTATTACAAAACGTAGTTTATTGATAGTTTCGGGCTTAAACTATAGTTAAAGAAGAGTTTTTCCAACTAAAGAAGTTCCCTAGCCGTAGCGAAGCAGTCTTTTCGAACTTTGACATTTGCTGTCAAATACCATACTTTATTTCATAATTCCGTGAAAAAAAATGTTGAAAAAAATTAAACTTAAAAAAAAAATTTAAAAAAAAAAACCCTTAAAAAAAAAAAAAATTTAAAAAAAATATAATACCACAAAAACATTGTAAAACAAATTATAGTTTAAAGTTAGACTGATTATAAATTACTTTTTAGAATGAGACGGTGTAGGTTCTTGCTAAATGGAACGGACAAAAAATTAATAATGAAAAGCTGAATGTAACCTAGGTTAAGTATGATATCAGGATGTTTCAACATACTATATTTAAGAAGTACTTTGCAGAACAAGGAAAAGTGTTTACATATTTGCTTGTTCTGCAAAGACGCTTCTTTTTCTTACATAATTTTTTGTATCTCATATTGCATTCGAAACTAAATTACATGTAAAGTTACTTAAAATTATAACATTACTTTATTTTAGTTTACAAAGCTCTGTTTCTTTAAAAAAACGTTATAAAATATTAAGGATTTTCATTAATCAATTGTTAATAGACCTTGTTAATTTCAATGCAATATAATAATAACCACAGAAATTTAAATAATATATTATATAGATTTCTGTGATAATAACGCAAATAATGCCCGCTTAGTACGTTTCAGTTCAATAATAATCGATTAAGGAATGCAGCAAAATATACAATGTCGTGAAACCATTACAATTATATGAATTGAGTCTTTCAATTACTTAATGATTTTACATAATATCTTTTTTACATTTATTTTGTTTCTGTTGCAAATACATTTTATAGGTTATGATAATTTAAGTAGAATTGCCAACCATTCATTTTTCAATAATATATATTTGTATATAATTTTTGTTGGTAAAGTACACCATAACATTGTTATTATTAAAATACTTTTACAATATATCTATATAAAATATAAAAAATATACACACTAATGTTAAGTTACAGTTTATATACTTTCCACAGCTAGGCAAAGGTATCGCATTTCTGAAAGAGTTTTAATTTAATGAAGTGTCCACCGCGCTACCATAATGCATGTTGGCGAACTTGACGTCTTAAATTTTTTTTTATCTTGAGAAATGCAGATTTCCTCACGGTATTTTCCTTCATCGTCGAGCACGTCGTAAATCTTCACTAAAAAAATATCATTCACGGCGCGTGCTTAGTCTTTGAGCTGCCACGGCTCGCTATTTATGTAGTGTACAGACTACGTATTTATTTATTTTTGTATTATTTATGATTGCTATTATACTTTCCCCACGGGGATGTCCCTAAATAAAATTAAAACTTATTCTTTAAACGTTAATTACAAACGTAAGTTATAAACATGTTAAAAACGGGATATGATGAGGTTTGTGTTCCAAATTGTTACTTCAAAAGGTTTATAAATTATTTAATTTACTGTGAATTGAGATAAACGAGATTTAATTCCCTTATTACAGCTTTATTAAAAACGCTATAGAGTTTCTTTTTACTCTACTGTGTCTGTTATTTCACAGAATGATAACTGTAGATATAGCTGATATATATATATATATATATATATATATATATATATATATATATATATATATATATGTATGTATGTATATACGTCTAGATTCCTGCTGTTTAAAGGACGATGCTAAAAACGTTAAATCCAAATTTAACGGATTAACTGGTGATGGGTACTAACAACAGTGGAAGGTTCTGCGTTCACTCAACCACCTGTGTGTGGGAAAATCTTCCAGATAACGCTTGTCAATTACATAGGACTGTAGAGGAGTTGATGGTGATTTTTTAAAGGTGGCATATTTTATTAAAATAAGTAATATGGTCAATATAGAAGCTTTTAATAAATGCGAAATTCAGATCAAATCATATTTTTTGAAGTAATAAGTATTTAGGATTCTAAGGTTTTAAATATTTACTTTGTAAATTAGATGATTCAAAATGGTACAGGCCGGGACACTTTTTTTTATAGAAGAGGGAGCAGACGAGCATGCGACACACCTGATGGTAAGTGACTACCGCCGCCCACGAACAACCGCAACTGCAGGTGCGTTGCCGGCCTTTTAGAAAGGAGTAAGCTCTTTTCTTGAAGGTCCCTAAGTCGTATCGATCCGGAAAATTTGCCGGTGGTAAACAATTCCACAGAGAAGTTGTATTCCAAGCATCCCGATGGTGAGGATGATATCGTGAATTTTGAGATGTGCGTTCATTAAATTTGTGGCGGTAACTAATCCGAACAATTCCTTAGAACACTCCCCGTGACAGATGCGATAGAAAACGCAAAGGGATGCAACATCCCTACGCAGCGCCAGTGAATCGAGCAGATCGGAAAGAACTCGGTCGTCTACGATTCGTACCGCTCTGCGCTGGATGCGGTCAAGTGGAAAGAGCTGGCACTGCATTGCCCCGACCCAGAGACGAGAACAGTATTCCATGTGAGGCCGAACTTGCGCTTTGTAAAGTTACAAGCGATGTGCCGATATGAAATACTGTTTCGCTCCGCCAAGCCAAGCTTTTTAGGGGCCAATTTATCCATACCCTCCAAGCGACCACAAAACTGCACACTATTCTATATGTTGACGCAGAGGATTCCGATGCTAGCCGAGATAGCCTCATATGGTATACCGCTGGATCGAAAATGAGTGCCCCAAATTCAAACTTAGTATGAATTTGGGTAGGTTCGCCTCTATCTTCCAGGCAGTAATTTGCGCCATAATTCAGTGTGCGGAAATCAATCTGCGAAAACATAACCATTTAATTTATGTAAATAAATAAATAAAAATAAATAAATAACGTCAACCATATAATTTATGTAAACTAGTCAAGCAGCACTGCTAGCGCTGAGGTCAAACTTAGTAAACTCGATGCTAGTTGGAGACTGCGTGAACCGCTTAAACACCCTGGGATCTAACAACAGGGTCATCTTATATGAATTTGCGGACAAACTCGCACGGCAGGGCTCGAAGAGTACACAATTTTGACGTGAGCTGTTTTGTGGAATCCCAAGAAGCCTACCCCGATGGACCCTTAAAACTCTTTATCACAATAAACCACTAAAGATCAGGTCTGATACACCATGCTTAAAACATTCTAAAACCTTGATCCGCGCTTTTGATCGTAAATCCGCTTCAGAAGCCCTAGGATTAAGTAAAAATAAATTGCGCATTTTGGCAAGAGCCCCAACTGGACACTGTTGTCTTAAAAAGCACATGTCCATCTTTAGACTAAGCAACTCGAGGATGTGTCGATTCTGTTCTGTAACTGATTGCGGAACCTTAATGCGCAAACGTAACACTCATCTGGGAAACTATGTACTCCGCCAAGAACAAGTGAAATTGCTCACGGTCATAGCAGGGACCACAATAGAACTTTTAGGTCGCAGTGATACCGTTCTCTTTCTCTAGACCTGCAATACTACTCACATATAATAAATATGGAATACGTGAAGGCGAAGTAATCAGCTGTGTCAGACCATATGCCAAGGAAAAGTCATAAACAGATCTCCCCGCACGATTAGTTAAACGTGAACTAAGCCATTCAGCGTGGAGGGCGTTAAATCGCTAAGGATCTCAATCTCTGCGGATGTGATCTGTTGTAGCACTGAATCTGTAGCTATTTAGATGTGGTCGATGACTCGGTCTTTTTCGACATTACTGCTATGGAACCTATAGAGACACGCGTAGACGGGAGGATGGTCCTCGCTGTCAAGACTGCCGAGGCGTCGTAAACAGATGTCCTCTCTGACGTATACGTAAACTCCAGCCCGGGGCACAAAGGAATGTTCTAATATGTAGCCCGGGTAGGAGTGATGAGAGGACACCTGAGTCGCGGTTAAAAAGAGCAAGGCCAACTTCGCCGTCTCCAGATGGTTAGCGCTAAGTTTGAAATGAAGTCCCCTGATGATGTTCCCGTCCCCCGGAATACGCGGGGCAGCCTGAGCAACCACGCTCAAGATGAGTATGATAACTTGGTCGTGGATGCTTAGTAAAGGATTCTCCGTCACCAGGGGTGCTGGTACTCTCCTGGGTTAGTTTTAATTGATTTCGCTACCATGTTAAGGAGGGGGGTTGGCAATTGAGCACCCCGCCACCTAAATTCACTAAGCGAATATATACTTAAGTGGTTCAAAATAATTTATTAATCAATTATTTTGGTCAATTTTATTATAGCGTCTAACCGATTTAGTTTAGTTTAGTTTTAAGGAAAAATTATACATGCAATACACTAGGTACGCGATAAAATTCGTACATAATATCAAGGTACAACTTGTTATATTCAACAAGCTGTTCCAAGTCACTTCGCCGCGTGTAATTTATTACGATTGGATTTAATAGGTTGTAATCTTTTTTTTGCGCGGAACTCTATGTTAAAGGTGTTAAAGGTAGAACCTATGTTACTCCTTATAGCATCAGCTATCTGCCAGTCAAAATCGATCGAGCCATTTCAGAGATTAGTCGTAACAAGCAGACAGATAGACAGACAGATGGACAGACATGTGCCTTTTTTATAAGTACTGTATACCTTAGTATGCATTTAGTAAAAAACTGTTATTTTGACATTACAAACAGACTCTACAACTTTATATATTTGTACTAGCTTGCCAGGCAGACGTTGTTCTGCCCTTTTCGACGACAATTTGTCATGTCCTATTAAAAATCCTTAAATTCGCAAAAAAAAATTGTAGGTCACTCATGGGAAAAAATCCATCCTATCTCTCAAGTTGGACCAAACTGCACACGGTGTGCAAATTTGATTAAAATCGGTTAAGTAGTTTTTAGGAGTCCATCGCGGAAAAACAACGTGACACGTAATTTATATACGAGATATTAAGATAGATGACAATGTAGTGGAACTATCGAATGTGGGTACATTGTCAGTCATCAAAAACTGCCATCCGAGGGCATTGGGCGTCATTATAATAATTATTATTGTTAACCTCCACAGAAATGATTACGAGTATATCAAACGTTGATAGAAACTGATATTTTTTGTTGTGAATAGCAATATCAAGTGTAAGTTCATGTATCCAACCATAAGACAAAGACATACCAAAAGACTCCAAACATTTTGAAATATTTATATATTTTATATTTTATATATAATTTGAAGCCCTCTTGTAAGTATGTAGGTTCAGCGAATTAGTATTAAGGCGTGGAAATGTTCAGGAAAGTTCAAAAATGACTGGCTATGACAATAACTTTACTCTTGGTAGGTGCTGGCCCAAACTGACACGGCTGGCTGTGGGCGCTTGAACTGCTCGGTTTTGTTCACTTTTTTCATTAGTTAAAAATAAAAACCATTTTTGAAATTTGTTCTCAACGTTAAAGTAAAGAGCCTATTCCTTTTAATATAAGTTTTATACGGTTTTATAATGGAATCTCAGCAAAGCACACGTTTTAAGACATTTAGTGTTATATATGGATATGTTTATCAAGATAATTTTTATGATTACCGTTTGTCTTCACACAACTCATCTCCGTTAAGTTTTTATGGATTGATTTGTTTGCGCAATACTGGAGGTGTTTAATTATTATTATTAGGTTCAAAAAGTTTAAAAAAACTGTAACGTCGCCTTAATAAACGTCTTACAAAATTATAAACCGTTCTGTTCGCATTACCTTAAAAGCTTCTATTATATTGTGATCGAATTAAAATCAAGCTTTTAACTTACCAAACAAAGTGGTGTAGAATTTGACACTGTTTGTGCAAATAAGAAATAATCCATACATTGTAGTTACGTGAAGAAATATTTGCACTATTAAATCCGGCCACCTTATTCTTGCCCTAAATTCCATAGCTTCATATTGGCTTACGTCAAAGTCTTTATCACTATTAAATTTCTCACTTGCACTGTCTTCTTGTAATACTGGATTGTTGTTTTCGCATAGTTTTGTGTCACTTGAGCCTTTAAAACTCTTTGGTGTAAGTCTCATATTCGCACCTCCTCCGTCGCATACGTCGACGTTTTGTTGTGCCGGTGCCATTCTGGTGAATGGAATTGAATGGATCAATGTACAATTTGCCCGTACCTAAACAATACTATCACATGCATGACAAACATTCATTAAAAAATTTATAGTGTTTATTGAAGCACGTTATCTACTGTAAGCGACTAAGGATTTAATATTACTCGTACATAATTTTAAACAAAACCGTTTTATTCCAAAGACTTACACTTATTAAAAGTTAAAATGACCTGAGTATTTGTGGTAAATCTAATTAGGAAATCATGTTTTTATTCCTAGAATGAAATTTCGAAATAATTTGTCAATTGTTCGTCATTAATGATAAATTAAAATTTGTAGTGTTAATGAGGGTATTTATTCTATCCATTCTTATAAGCATATCTAATTTTTCTTTATGGCACTAATCATTTTGACTTCTTGACTGCTCATAGTCATGCATACTAGTTTCACATCACAACTAAAAATAAATATTGGTAGTGGTAGTTCACGGGCTAATCTTTTGCCTCGATTTTGTTAGTTTACCACAATTTACCACATGATCGACGGATAAATAAATAATACATCTTGAGAAAACGTGCTCGAATCAGAAATCAAATATTTCGAGATTTGAAGTTCGTCGACACGCAATGGCGGCACATCCCGGGGGACGGGTTTCTAAACCGTCTTAGAAATAACAGTGGGACTTATATATTATTATATATGTCAGCCAGTAAGCTTTTTTTGTTAATTACTACGATTTCAGCTATCGATTTACTAATATTGTTAGCTGTTGTAAATTATAATGAACCATTACCTACACTGTTTATTTCAATTACACTTATATCACAATGCGGCAAACAAAATTAATTAGACGTTTATTAAAGGTTATTAAGGAATCAATTTAAACCAATTTTCAAAGAGTGGGGGTGGCAATCGAGCACACAGTCCACATGAATGAATAAAAGAATGCTGTAGCTCATAGACATCTATATTTATCAATTCGGATACGTTGTCACTCCTGAGGACTACGATAGAATGCCTCGTTTCCAGTAAAAAGGGTCTCCGTTTCCCTACACTACTTAATCATACGAAACACAGCCGCATTAAGCTGCTATTTTTCGTTTCTTTGAGAACGTACTTCTTCCCCGGTCGACCGACCCATTCGTGCTACAACCATAATATAGATCTGCATCTATCCAATATATATAATCTATAAAATATAATTCTCGCGATCTGCCTCGTAAAAGCTTAGAATATTTTTTTTAATTTATCTTAAATTATTATCAGCTGGATTTGGGTCTTTTTCACTGTAGGAAAGAATTTCCGCGATCGCCGCGCTTGGGAGGCAACCAGATGTCTCGCACCTTTGCCCATTATTGTATTGTTGACGATCCAGTCATCTAGTATAAAGGTCTCGAAAGCTTTTGCTATAATCGCCTCTTTAAATAACCCCGGGAAAAAACTGCCTTTCTATAGAATTAAAGTTATAGACAGTTCAACGATCTTGTCATAATGAAAACTTTTTTATACTTTTAACTTCCTGATATGTGGAGGTCAATGATTTTCAAAAAATTGGAAAGATATTGGTATCACCCGTTTTCGAAAATCGAGGTTTGAGGTACTAGGTAGCTAGGTAGCTAGTGTGTGTATGTGTGTGTGTGTGTGTGTGTGTGTGTGTGTGTGTGTGTGTGTGTGTGTGTGTATGTGTGCGTGTGCGTGCGTGTGTGTGTGTGTGTGTGTGTGTGTGTGTGTGTGTGTGTGTGTGTGTGTGTGCGCGTACATGTGTGCGCGTGTGTGTGTGTGTGTGTCGCATGCGTGCGTGCGTGTGTGTGCGTGCGTGTGTGCGTGTGCGTGCATGCGTGTGTGCGTGTGTATGTGCGTGCGTGCGTGCGTGTGTGTGTGTGTGTGTGTGTGTGTGTGTGTGTGTGTGTGTGTGTGTGTGTGTGTGTGTGTGTTTTATAGGATAAGGGTGACGAACGAGCACACAGTCCACCTGATGGTAAGTGTTTGCTATGGCCCATAGACATCTACATACATCTATCTTCGATTACGAATCATAATGCAGATGCGTTGTAACCATGTGTTAAGCTGCTATTTTACGTTGGTATTCTGTGAGAGCGCGGCCCTTCCTCGGTCGAGCCGACCCATTCGTGCCACAACTATACTACTAATATATGTAGCTCCAGCGTGGCTCTAACACGTAAAAACGTGAGGGAGTGTGAGTGTGAGCATCGAAAATAAATCGTACCTAGTGATCATGTATATCATTTATACTGATATATTTTATCATTCATACGTGGTAGAGCCACGCTGTAGCTATATTATGGTTGTAGTACGATTGGGTCGGCCCTACCGGGAAAGACCACGCTGTCACAGAATACCTGCATAAAATAGCAGTTCAATATTGCTGTGTTGTATATGGTGAGTGTAGAGCTCTGGAGACCCTTTTTTACTGGAAACGAGGCATTCCATCTTAGTCCTCAGGGGTTACAACGCATTTGCATTTTGATTCTTAATCGAGGATAAATGTAGATGTCTATGAGCCACAGCATCCGCTTGCCATCAGGTGGACTACGTGACTCCTTTGACCTTATATGACGTATATGTGTCCCTGTGTCACCCTTATTCTATAAAAAAAAATTGTAGGTGATCATTCTATCTTAGGGATTAAATACACTGATCTAAAATTAATACACTCAGAAAAGCGAATTTTTTTCCACATTTGTTATATTTATTGATGTAAAGGAGAGATTCCTAGCAATGTGCACCCACGCAATAAAGACTACTACACATGCCATGAGATGAAGCAAATAAAAGAATTGAACAAATAAAAAAGATCAAAACGCCGATAACATCGTTATTATGATAATATTTCAACCATGTGCATATTGTACATATTACACTTTCAACGGCACCATAAGGTTTATGTGCGTATTACGTAATTATAAATTCAAAGAAAAATGTATCAAGGTATACAGAAAGAGCTATAAAAACAAACTCATGAGTTACGGGTGAGTTCTGACTATAAATATTTCGACTAACCCGCTATGATAAGGGCCAGGTGTTCAAATAGTGTGTCATTGACTTATTTGGTAAATCTTATCTATAAGGTAAACATTATACGGTGTACCTACATACAACCTATGTATAATATATTATCGGCGACTAACTATGCGTCATGTCACTATACATTAAACGTTAATATTCATAGTGAGTCTATCTGATTTTAATCTTGATATCATTGCTTGCAAGAATTATAAATCGCAGACGGGATAAATATCTCTCCAAAGTGTAGAAGCTATATACTTACAAATATATTATTTATTTATATATGCGTCCGTTTACGTAAATCACATTGGAATAAATATATATTAATAAATAATGGATTTCGAATTTTTGAAATACAGTTATGGAACCCGTGTATTTTTATAACAGTAATCTGAAGGTAAAAAATTAGGGATTTTGATAAAATAGCGAGGATAATATACAGATTTTATAAAATTATTAAAATTACAATGAGACGTCATCATTATCATCATTACAGCCCTTTACAAGTCCACTGCTGAACATAGGCCTCCCCCAAGGTATCCCACAAAGCCTTTGATTCCGTCGAAATTTGGGCGGTGTTACAGTCTCTTCAGCGGTGCCAAGTTGACTGTCGGTATATCGAAGTGCTGAAGTGTTTGTACAGTAGGGCTACGATGGCTATCCGAGTACAGAACCAGAGTTCGAAACCTATCCAACTGCAGAGAGGTGTAAGACAGGGTGACGTTATTTCCCCGAAACTCTTCACCGCTGCATTGGAAGACGTTTTCAAGCTACTGGACTGGAAAGGCTACGGTATTAACATCAATGGCGAGTACATCACTCACCTTCGATTTGCCGACGATATAGTCCTTATGGCAGAATCGCTGGAGGACTTAAGCACTATGCTCAATGACCTCAATAGTGCCTCCCAACGGATAGGTCTTAAGATGAACATGAACAAAACAAAGATCATGTTTAATGAGCATGTCACACCTATGCCGGTAGTTGTTGGGAGCACTAAGCTCGAAGTTGTTGACGAGTACGTTTACGTGGGACAAATAGTCCGGCTAGGTAACTCCAACTTCGACCGAGATGTCAATCGACGGATTCAACTCGGCTGGGCAGCGTTCGGGAAATTACGACACATCTTCTCGTCAGGTATAATACCTCAGAACCTGAAAACTAAGTTGTGCAACCAGTGCGTGTTGCCAGTGATGACATATGGAACTAAGACATGGTTCAATGCTGGCCGTATGAGGACGCTCAAAGTCGCTCAGCGAGCTATGGAGAGGGCTATGCTCGGAGTTTCTCTGCGTGATAAACTTAGAAATGAGGATATCCGCAGTAGAACCAGAGTGACCGACATAGCCCAACGGATTAGTAAGCTGAAGTGGCAATGGGCCGGCCATATAGCTCGAGGAACCGACAACCGTTGGGGAAAAAAGGTTCTCGAGTGGCAGCCTCGTACCGGTAGACGAAGTGTAGGGCGACCCCCCCCCCACTAGATGGAGTGACGACTTGGTAAGACATGCAGGAAGTCGATGGATGCAGGTGGCTCAGGACAATGATTACGTTGTTCTAATTAATAAACTATTTAATAATTTGTCACCTACTATATTTATGCGAATAAATAGATTTTATTTTATACAACGCAATAGTTTTATATTCTTTGAATAATACATAAAAAGTTACGTTGTTATGCCTGAAAACAATGAAAAGTTACATTTTTAAATTATAAGTCTCGAAGTCACATTTTTTATTGGTCTACTATAAAATACTAAATAAATAATTTTTGAAACACTGAAAATAACGTTTGATGTATTTTTTGTGTGTTTATATAATCAATTTTATCTAAGAAATAAAAATGGAAAATTACAGACATAATAATGTAAAACTGGTGGCAAAAAACTCGTGGAAATTCTTGCACTCCATCATTGTCGTTTTTGGAGTGCAAGAATTTCCACGAGACAATTTAAAACTCAAGCACGAAAAACCTTTCCATTCGCCAGTCA